GATAAGGTCCACACAGGGTTTCCTGTGACAGACAGTGAGTTTGCCACAGAAGCTGGCGGCCTCAGAAGCGCACCTTTCCCACTAGAGTGGCAGCTCTGTCCTGATGGCCTCCGGGACCTGCTCAAGGGGAAGGTGCATCTCAAGGCAGAGTCAGCACAGCAGGCATTTATCTGAGTCACAAAAAGACTGAAGTGAGGAAGCCATCAATAGACTAATACCATAAAAAGGGACTTCAAGAGGTATCAGGTTTAGGTACCTTCTTTTAAAAAATTAGAGCCAAAGAGTGAAACGAACATGATTATAGAAACAGTGAAGACATCATATCCTTACAAGTGGCCTGCTTTTCTTTTCTTTATAAAAAAAGAAATATTTTTTTATTGATTTCAGAGAGGAAGGGAGTGGGACAGAGAGATAAACAGTGTTCCAAAATTCAGGCAAAAAGTACCCTGGCGTAAAATTCAAAATCTTGAGTGAATTTTGGGACACACTTTATAAACATCAATGATGAGAGAGAATCATTGATCAGATGCCATCTGCACACCCTCCACTGGGGATTGAGCCAGAAACCCAGGCGTGTGCCCTGACCTGGAATTGAATGGTGACCTCCTGGTTCATAGGTTGACACTCGACCACTGACCACACCAGCGGGGCCAGCCTGCGTTTCTTATACTTGCTGTCCCCTCTGTATCTCAGGGGAAAGGAACCTGTGTGCTTGTCTGAGAAACACTGACGTAGGAGACCACCGTGTTCAAGTAAATGGCAGGCTCTCTCCTGGCTCAGGAACCAGGCCTATTACAGGAGGGAAAACTCATGAAAAAGCAGGACGAGAACAAGGAAACCTTTTCTTCCCACTTCCTGCCCTTGAAGCCTGTGAGGCAGATGATTTCACTCCATATTTAATTGAGGAAAATTTTTACAAAAAAATGTCGGCAGAGGTGAGTTAAGGTGCTCCGCAGACAGCGAGAGTTGAACACACAGGGACAGGGAGGGATGGAGCTAAGGGTCTGCAGTCAGCACTGGGGCCTCCAGGTCCAGGGAGGGAGGAACCAGCAGGGAGGAGCTGCTGGGGGTCAGGAGCCAGGACTCAGCCAGAGCCCGAGGCTGCTCTGCGTGTGGAGTGAGAGCCCAGCAGGAAACCTCTTCAGGCTGCGAAGGGGCCAGACAGAAGGTTCTCTCCTGCCCTTGTCGCCATGATCACCTCAGGTCAGGAGTCCTGCAGACAGAGGACAGTGCTGCTCCCAGGCCCAGCCAGCAGGGGCGCTGCCCTCCCAGGCCTCCTGCTGGGGCTCACAAGTGAGAACAAAAGCTCTGAGGCCACAGGAGCCACAGCTGCTTCAGAGCTGCCTCTCACCAGGAGGGAGGAGACCCTGCAGGGTAAGCGGCAAGAGTCACACCCAGGCTCCCCGCTATCTGTCCCCTGGCTCGTCCCCTGCACCTTCTGTTCTAGGGAAATCGAATGCGTCCCTAAGAGAGGATTAGAGAGCGTTACCTGTGGGCTGAAGTCCAGAGTGTCCTGGGAAGAGAAGGAAGATGCCACTTAAAGATATGAAGGTAAGTGTGACCCCAAACACAGGGTCCCCGCCCAGGCCACCTGAGCTTCTCTAGCAACACCCCCACCCGCTGACACCAGAACAGGCACAAGAGCAGAAGCTGAGAAAGTGGCCCCGAAGCCGTCACAGTCCAGTGTATTTAGTGACCACAGGGCCTGCTCCTCCATGTACCCCAGGATCTGCACCCAAATCCCCGTGCGTGTTAACCTGTCTCTAACCCCACAGCCATGACTCCTCATGTCTCCACCCTAAGAACCGGGAGCTGGTTATTTCTGCATTTCCAGGACATGTGAGACCGACAGGGAAAGACAGGCTTCTATGGAGTTGCCATACCCAGAGCTCACCCAGCAAAGCCACAGTTGTCCCCACCAAATTGGGGCCAAGGCTGCCAGCAGGCTCCTTACCTTTCTGAGCCCTGAAGTAGGTGAGCAGCCCCGTCCCGAGGAAGAGCAACCCCAGCACGAAACCCCCTGCTCCACTCAGCACCTTGCTCTGTGTGGATCCAGACTGGGCCCCTGAGAGAAGAAGCTGGTTTCAGTGGGTTTTAGCCAAACCAACTTCTCTACTGGAGACCCTGGGATTGAGAGCTTGAGGGGTGGGAAAGGGGGTTGGGGAGGGGTGTTGCCCTAGAAGAAGCAGAACAATAGCCATTTCCAGGAAAGAGACTGAGGTCACACTGAAGAGGTACAAGGCCCAGGCACTGGCATCAAGTCCCCTCACACCCGACCCAAGGCCACTGCTTCGGCCTCCGAGGCTGCGGAGCCCAGGGCTTGTGACCTCCAGGACTTGGCCCGGGTGACAGAGCCACAGACGGCAGAGCAGACTGGGCTCTCCCGTGGCAGGAAGGTCCCCACGCTGTGGAGGACGCACCTCTTCCCAGATCACAGGGGGCAGCTCAGTGAGGCAGAAGCGAGAGACAGAGCAAAGGAAAACAGGGTGTGGGTTTTCAGGACCCTGACCCTCAGGGACAAGCAAAGGCCCCTGTGGGGGGCGGCGTGTGAGGTCAGAAGGCGTCTCACTCCATTCCACGGTGACCGGGCTGGTCCTGCTGGGGTGCCGCACTTGGCAGGTGTAGACCTCCCCGCTCCGGGGAACTGTCTCCAGCATCACCAGGGTCTGGAAGGTCCAGTCCCCGTTCCAGATCAGGCCCGTGGACACCACCCCGGCCTCCTCTTCCTGGCCGTTGTGCAGCCAGCGGACCTCAATGTGGCCCGGATAGAAGCCGTTCACGGAGCAGACCAGCAGGTTGTGGTGCTGCAGGCGCTGGGTCTTTGCAGGATACACGGTCACTGTGGGCTTAGCTAGGACAGAGAAGGCGGAGGGAGATGTGAGCAAGACAGGCAGGCCCCTTGGTTGCTCCCTTTCGGCCTTGTCTCCTGTCCCAGGCTCCAGGACCTGGCAGGTCCCCCTCAATCGCCCTGTGGCCCAGCAGAAGATAGTGACATTGGCCTTGAATCTCTGCCTACAGCTCAGGCCACTGGATTTGAGAGACATGGAGGAAATTTGGGGGATTATTCATGTCTTGAAACCGTTACTAATTGTTTAATCAAAGTGTTTGCAAATCTTTGCAAGGCACAGAGTGTGTGAGTTCCAGTGTGATTTCTGGAGCAGGGCTTGGCTCACATCATCCAGGCTGTGCCTCTTACTGGGTGATCCTGGGGGATCCTCTCTGCTCAGCTCCTCACCTGCAAAGGGGGTGATAATACTAACTCACCACTTAAGGACATATGAGGA